AAGATTAAAAATCTAAAAACTATAATCTTGTCTATTGCGACATCATATTAAATTGAATTAATCTATGTTTGATAAGCATCCATCATTATATAAACTAGAACTTGATATAACCAGTACGAATAGTATTCATTAGCGAGATATCACGAGTGATGCAGATTAAATGACTACGCTTTACATTTCAATTTTCAATCACTGAATACGTTGTATTAAGAAAAACAAAATATACCACAATATGTAACTTGAAAAGCTCTACAATTTACATAAGACCGCTTATTTTACAGTTCTACTTTTTTTCAAGATCGACAAAATTCTGTGCGACTAAATTTCAAAGCTTCAAAAATCTTTTTTTGGTGCACGACGAATGCATTTTTTTTCTTATTTACCACCTGATATATTTTAATAAAAAAAAGAAAAGAAAAATATACCTCGAGATACAGCATGAAAAGCTCTACGATCTACAAAGTAAAGCTTATTTTGATTGGGTGCTTTATGTTTTGAAAAAAAAGTAAAATTTTTGGGCGACTACTGTCCGCAGTATCGAAATTTGATCATTCAGAATTTTATTCATTTTCAAAACAAAAAGTGTAACTACAAAATAAGCTGTCTTTTGTAAATTGTAGAGCTTTTCAAGTTGCATCTTATGGTATATTTTTTTTTTTACAAAAGTGGAAATTGCAATGAGTGCGTAACATATCATTAAAATCATGTTTTAACGAAATGTTGAATTTGAAATTAGGTAAGATGTAAATCTCCCGAGATTTAATGAATCCACTGTTCATAAGTATACAAAAAATTTGAAGCAGTTGTTCTTATCGTTACAGTGAAGATGTATCGAAGTAATGATAGATACTACATCTTTATTATGATTCAAAAAAAGCAAAAGTTTTCAAAACGAACTCGTTTTATTTTGTTTCGAAAATTATCAAAAGCTTCATTTCAAATAGATGTAGTTTTCCCTAGAAATTTCATAGTCAGGCGCAGACACCTTAGCGAGCAAAGGAAACAGTTTGATAAAGTAACATAGTTTTAGATAATTTAGATTCCGGGAAGAATCGAAGAGTATAGTAGAGAGAATCTGTGGAGAACGATCTCTATTTTGCTTTCAAAAATATTGATAGATAATGATTATTAATGAATTATTTCAATGAATAGTTTTAGGTTTTTCAATTGAAATTGTTGATAAAAAAAGTTTTTAATACATACTTTCCCTTTCGCAATTAGTGAAAGCTTTGGCGATCGTTGTGTAAAATGAGAAAAGTGAACTGTTATGTTAAATTTGAGGAGTGTCTCAATCGGCCTTTTATTTCCGAAAATCGAAAACCCGATACTGACTTTGTCTTCTAACTGCAAGAAAAAATCATCTGTGTATAAATTCGTTCATAAATGCTCGAAAGTCGGCTTCTACAGAGTTCCTGTTTCCTAGAGAAAGAAATTCAAGAAAATCAGAAGCACGATACTTCCACTAATTTTGAAATTTCTGATGAAAAACGTACGGACTCGCCTATTTTTCAACTGATTCTTAATTTTCGGTTTTGTTTGAAGTTTTTATCAGATAATCCTAAATAACGATGCGTCTCATTCTTACGAAATCGAAAGGCGTGATCAGCAATAAATGCATTTTAAACATGTCTCCATCGTTTTGTGAAGATTCCTGCAAACTAGGTGTGAGTTGTTAGGTGAAAGAAAGATTCATAACGGCACCCAGACTCACACACTCTTAAGAATAATTCTTCTCATCACAGAAAAAGTATTGTGTAGTAGATAAAGAAAAATAAATCAATATATTATTATTTGCATTTTTATCGTTAATCTATTTCAGTTAAGAATATACTGCATTTCGTTATTGGTAAGTTAGATGTTTGGGAGAAGGCGTTGTTTCTTTGAATTTATTTAATGAAAGCATACACATACGTAAATGCGCATAGAAGAAAGAGAATACGGTGAAACGACATGTCAATATTGACAGTATCACACGCCACCCAAGGATTGAAAGAGAAAAATATATAAACAGGTGTATTACTTGCAGCATCAAACACGCATTTGGTAATACCAGTCATTAGAGCGCAAAGGTAAGCATCGGTCAAATATTTCCTTGCTCGTACGAGTATACAGTGATGAATAATACGTAAAAGCAGTTTTTTTTAGATTTTTTTTTATCAAACACAATCTACTGAAGATATCTAAATAACGATATCGAGAGCTCTCATAACGGACTTAATTACTATCGTAGAGAATAAAATGAATAGATGATATTACTGGAGACTAGAAATACTGAAAGTATTGTAAACATCGAATTACATGAGAATTCAAAATTTTTCTTCATCAGAAATCTAAATTGAATGTTTTTTCAATACATATTAGAAATATCAAGCCAGATGTTTCAATAATTGTCTTCTTCAAAAATATTCTAACAAATTAATTGATTGAACAAAGTCGTCGGCAATATGATTTGTAAAGGAATAGAGGTCGCCAAAGAGCAAAACTGTCTCTTATTGTTGAAAAACCTAATTATTTGAATGAACTCATTATTCATTTCATATAATCATTTTTCAACTAGCATTTACGTGGTACATTACCTCTCGTTTAGATTTATCTTGGCATTATTCATCCAATAGATTCGATTTGTTATTCAATTATAGATTTTGCTCTAACCAACAATGATGTTTCCCGTCTTCCCTTTTGAAAAGGTAAGAAATATAAATTGTGTATCTTATGAACAATTCAGTCTCATTTTGAACTGACTTCGTTTTGGATTTTATGAAAACAGGAAAATATGTTTAAAGATCAATTTACTTTTTTTATATTTCTCAAAGCTATTTTAAATGTAATTGTCTAATTTTTATTCATAGCTTAAGAATGATAAACCGCAACTTATCGATGCTAAACACGATCCAGAAATGCCAGCACGAGTACGAAATCTATTGGAGAAAGTAGGCGATGAACTCATTCTTAAAATTCAACTTGGTCGTACACCTGTTCAAGATTTTCCTCTTAAAATACTTAACTTTTTAAGCGATTCAAGATTTACCAATAAACAACTTGAACTTGGTTATGATGAAATCTATCACAATTATTTACTCATTACTATTAAAAATAGTCATGGACCCCATATACTACAACATATGCTTGGAAATGCCGGACAAAATGCAACTGCTAGCACTATTCTTAAACTTGAGAAAGCACAACGTATTGCTCTCAAATATCCGATTATACCTAATGAATTGATCGATGTATATGATATTCCACTAACACCAAATAAACCATTAACACTCAATCGATTAATTTCTGCAGCATCGAATGTCGATAAAAATTTTTTCAAGTATGATGCTGGCGAAAATAATATGTGTCAAACATTTGTTGAAAATATTATCGATATCAATGGTTTGACGCCTAACATTGTTGATCAAGAAACATTGAATGCTCTCAAACCAATCGATGCCAAAGCATTAATTTCTACACTAGGTAGTCGAGCTAATATTGTTAAAATGGCGACTGATTGGGGTGCCAGATTGGATAAATTAGTATTCGATCGTAAGATTAAATGGAAAATATCTCAACCTAAACAATTTGTTCCATTTGGTGAAGCCAGTGTCACTGATTCGAAAAGTACCGATGCTATATACACTGCGATTCTTCAACTTGAAAAAAATGGTAAGAATAGAAAAGATAACAAATTCTATTACTCATATATTATTATTATTTCTAGCACAGTTGCTTGTTCAGTCACCACCGTCGCCCGAATCACCATTGTCTACCAGATTGTAAGAAAGAAAAAGATCAAAATATATTTAAAGTATACAGGATGTTCTATAAATGGCTTTATAATAAAAATTGTGAATATCTTGCGGTCAAGAGAAGATCAGCACTGATATCCATCTGTACTCACATTCGGATAGAACTCTAAAATTAGCACCGATATAAAGCTTTAGATGACAGAGTCTATACAAGAAGATGATCAAAAAATGAGATTGGACTCTAAACATCAGACATAGGTAAAATTGTCTGGTGCCTCACCACTACATTTCTTGAATTTGCGATTTCGACATTCATGATCAACGTAGTCAAATCGACATTCCTAGTTACTTTTGAAAATTGAATTTTGAAAAAAAAATTTCGAAATTCTGTGGGTGTCGGGAATCTCGAAATCATTTCAAAGGAAACAACTACACTATATTTATAGTCCGTATTGACCTTGTTACAGCCATATAGTTACTTCCTGAAAATATTGTAAACTGAAAAAGTAGTCTTAATGCCCATTTTTCTTTACTAAGAAAACATCAAGACGTATCCAATGAAGACTCCAGAAGTCTCCATAATGGAAGTCAGTTCGAGATCATCACTCTCGATATGTTTAGACAAGTTTGTTCAAAAATCAAAAGTTGCTGAGTTGAATTTAAACGGCTGCAGCTACAAGACAGTCTAATAAAGATATCCAATCTATGTAAGCAGTTGATGGATAGAGAGGATTAGATATACATTGCTCTTCTCTCAACTTTGCATCTGTTTGTTCATTCACCACTCGTTTGACAGGCTTCTGATTATTAAGATTGTTATTTCATATTTGCCTGAGATGTTTGAAGTCTATGCGATAATCGCCGATTAAAACTTCTGGCTATTTCATCGAATTTACTCTTTCAATAATATCTGTTTCAATATCTGAATATAGATACCATTCTTCTGATTCAGAAGAAGAAGACCATGAATTGTTGTGCGATCTCCACATCTATTTTAATACGTTTCATTATGTCTAAATCTATAACCTTCAATGACGAAACTCTTTCGTTTTCTTGCAAATGGTTGATGATAAATAAGATTATGATAAAGGAACCGTAGTAGTTGAAAAATGGAAAGAAGAACACAAAAAAAGAGGTTTTTTTCTATGACATGTAAATCAAGCAGAGTATAGGACATCTCTTCACCTATTCATTCATATTCTTAAATAAGACAAATCAAAAATATCATCAAAATAGTGAACTCCTAATGTATAGAATTTTCTATATTTAATCTTTTTTTCGTTGATTTGCCGTATATCGTTTTTCATAGTAATCATAACCTTCAACCAATTGAAATTGTTTGTCATTAAAACGATTCCCTTTAACACTTAATTGTGATACAGTTGAATATTTTAATAATGAAATAGGAATTGATTTTAACTCGAGATTATTATTATCTAATCGAAGAATTTTTAATCGTTTACATTTTGATATTTTAGTAGAGATTTTAGAAATCTGAAAAGAAAAAAAAAGTAAAGACATAATTATACAAAAAATCTAAGAAAATATTTACTTTATTATTATTTAAATTTAATTCATCTACTTGTAACAATTCAATTTCATTCTTTATCTCTGTGATTTGATTGAATGAAAAATCAAGAAGTTGTAGATTAGTTAAATTTAAAATTGCTTGAGGAATTGTAAAGAAACAATTTTTTGAAAGATTTAATTCTCTTAATGCTGTTAGATACCAAAATGACATAGGTAGAGAATGTAGATGATTACTATTTAATTGAAGATTTTCTAACTTTGATAGATGATGAGTAAAAACATTAGAAGGTAACGATTCTAAAGTAAATATTTTCAAAATGAAAATATAATGTGACAAATTATAGCTTACTGATCTGATTATTTCTCAAATAGAGATTCTTTAAATTCACCAAATTTGTTAGATCATCAGGAAGTAATTGAATTTCATTATCATTTAATGATAGAGTACGTAAGCCAGACAGAGAACACATTTCCGATGGTATCAGTTAGATGAAGAAATACATTAAAAAAAAGAATGAAAAGAAATCTAAGTAACAACACTTACTTCTTTTAGATTTTTCTGATCATATTGCAATACATTGGTTTTTCGTGCTACTTCGATATGACTTTGTAAGTCAACTAAGTGTAGTTTACTGCGATTTTCATATCTTTGATAATCTGAAATAATATATGATCACAATATGATATTCAATTTCAACTTTAAAATTTGCATAGATTACCCTCAAAATCGAATGATTTTATTAATGGCTGCTCATTTGTACGCTCGTACAGAAGTGGTAAGGCTCTAATTGCTTTGAAATTTACAGAGTGATCATTTTTTGTAGTAATGATTGAATAGTTGTTTTTATTGACTTTTATAGAAGCTTTAGACAAAAACAAAAATATAGATGAAGTTTATATTTTCTCTGAACAGTATATACTGATACTTTCTTCGTTTCTATAATCATGTGGATATTGATGTAGAACTACTGGTTTATCTGTAGTATTAACTGAAATGGACTTAAATATTTCAGTCGAATTAATTAAAACTTAGAGTTTCACCTTCATCTTTAGTATTTCGAGGCTCATACTGTTCTGAATGTAGAACATCCGATTTTTCAATGGAACTAAAATAATAAAAACTACTCATTAAATTTGGATAATTAGTCTTTTCTGATCAATTTACCTAATCAACTTTCTCGTATGACTACTGATAGTCAATTTGACCTTCTGACTATCTGAACACGCTAATTCAATACGTTTTTTAGCTTCTTTCTGTGTAACAAATCGTAGATCGTACGTGTTTTTCTAGAAGATCCGCATAGATACGAAGAGCAAATGATATACTAAAAAAACAAAAACTCTTACTGCGGATGAGATTTCTATTAATCGATCGCCAATATTCAATTGTTTGTTAATTTGATTGGAAATACCAATAATAAACACACCGTAATCTCTAACGAAAGGTAAATAAAAATCAATGGAAAATTTTAATAAATTGAATACATAATAATCTATACACAGACCCTTTGAAATATTCACTTCCAATGCCACCAACTATTTCAATTCCTAATTTTCCATTTGAATGTTTCAGTTCAATTACTTCAATTAATTGAGGTACAAGACGACGAATTAACTACACATAGAATAAAAAGCTAATAGAAATATTTTCAATGGTACGTACTAATCGAACTATATTTCTGGACATTTTCAATATTCGAACAGCTGTTTGATGTTTAATATTTGAATAATCAACACCATTTACACGTAAGATTATATCATATAATCTAAGAAAAGAAATTCACTATTGTTCTATGCTATCCATACATTAACTTACTTTAAGCGTCTATCTCTATCTACTAGACCATTTTCAGTTATATGAATCACAATAATAGATGTAAAATTTTCGACGAAAGGTTGATCATTTCCTCCAGCAATCCTAAAGCCAAGAGAAGTATCGTTATCATTACTTGGCTGTAAGAATAAAAAGTTAGAATAGTAAATGTTAAGTTTATATAATTACTTCAAACTTACTCTTTCAAGAACAATTTCTTCTTCTTGCCAATGATCTTTATAGTCAGATGTTGGTAGTTCCTGAGACATATTATTTTTTCACTCGTTCAGAAAGGTTTTTTGAAGAGAAAAACAAGTATATTCTTTTCAATTCGATACAAAATAGTCACTTTAGAAAAGGGAAAGCAAAAAAAAAAACAAGAAATACACGAACCAACGAAGAAAAACCTTCTATTGACTCAAGATAAAGTACATTTTATTATTTTATTCTTTTTCCTCTACAGCAAATAGAAGAATCATTATTATTTATTCTGATCGAAAAGTATATTTATAAAAGCTTTTTTTCACAAATATCATTCCTAGGAGCTCAGAGAAAATAAAATACTAGAAACACTCCCCCCCCCCCCAAAAAAAAACATGGTTTTTTTCGATGGTACTAATTTTTTAAAGTCGGCCGAATTTTATAAGAACAACATTTAAAACATAATACGTATCTCAATTTGACCAACGAACTCATGCAAAAAAAATTGAGCCCGATCGGTCATATCGTATGGGAGAAAGTGGAAATCATTAAGGTATCAACTGTTCCACCTATCGCCTTTGACAGAATGTACACTTTCTCTTAGAATGGGAAAACATTAACACCATCTGAAATTATTGACTTTCACAGCTACAGAGACAAAATACAGAAGACCAAATAATGTTATCATTTGTAATCGTGCTAGTATTAAGTCAGAAACTTGATTTGACATGTCGATATATTGAAAGCACAGCAATCATCCATCTCTAGGTCATTGAAATAAACTCTCATCAACCAGAATAAGGATAGGCCACTTCTATCATACATAAACATTACTACACCTATTTTTTTGGGTGGCTATTTGAACACTTCACACCTTCTAAAGTAAATTGAGTTTTGTTTCCATCAAAATCTAAGATACGATTTACATTTTGCTTACATCTCGATTTCTAATTAATTTTAATCATTATCTTACCACTGTATGATGATTTACCATTTCAAAAGAATAATTTTTTTTAGAAAAACAAATTCTTATATATATATTTTTTTTGTAATAATAATTATCATCTGACATAATCGACATTCAACACCAAAAGACAAAAAAAAGAATTTAATGACAATTCAACGAACAAAAACCAAAGCAAAAAAAAATTCTCTTACTCTTTTCATATTGAACATTAGAAAAAAAAATTCAAACAATTGCAATAGAGATTAACAATATTTTAGATATACATATAAAATAAAGACAAGATATCTGGCAGAATCTAATATATATATATACACACACACATACGAAAAAAAAATTGATCATAAATGCATTAGCAACAACGATCTACAAAGACTCCCCTCCAAAAAAAAAACACCAAATCTCTTCCACCAAATGCCCAAATTTGCTAACTTTGTATAAACTATGCGATGCTTACGACTGTTGCCGCCGCCTTTCTTCTTTTATTATTCTTTTTTTACATTCAAATTGATAATAGTTCATCTATTGATGCATAACCTGAACTTGATCGTCGTGAACGTTGTTCATGTTCATTTTCATGTTCATCAATTGCTGCTTGATCGCCATTTGCTGGTATATATTGTGGTGCATATGTATAACCTGGTTTAACAATAATCGATGAACGTCTATATTCATCATGAATAAAAGCACAATTTTGACCTTAAATCAAAAAATAAAAAAACTAAATTAATTTATTCATTTAATTAAATTTATTACCATATGGACAATTATTTGTCATATGAAATAATCGACATAAAACTGATTTATGATTTGCATTACGTAAATCTTCAGCACCATGTGCAAATGTACAATCACCATCAAATTTACATATACCTGTTTCAATATAATATTTACATAATTCTGTTTTATATTTTGAATTGCTTGTTGACCACGAAGCTATTTTTGCTTTATCAATTACAATAACAGGACCACAAGGAATTTTTGAAAATGCTGTATTACGTGATAAACGCATGTCCTAAACAAACAAACAAACAGAATAATATTAAGACAATATTCGATTATTCAACAACATCAGTTGAAAGTTATATTGTAAAATATTATTTTCTAGATTTTGATAGCTCGTACAAAAATTGCTCTACTCGTCAACATCTGCTTGCCTGAGGATAGTGATAAGCAGGACCTACTATTTATAGTGCTAGCTTCGTATGTACTAATATATATATACCAGCGAAAAAAAGGAATATCATTTTCTAGCAATGCCAATGAATTCGAGACATTTTCCACACTCCTCCATGACCTCTAAGATTCTTCCTCTGGGCGATTCATTACTTTTTTTTTTCTAATTCACTAATATTTCATCTATTTCACACAAATATCATTCCGAATGAAAGTATCTTTGATTCCATCTTGTTTATATCTACCAGACAATTTCAAATGAGTTGTTCCTGCAAAAAAATAGGAATAGAGAGTATCCTTAAATAAAATACAAAAGAATTTGAAACAAAACTTTTTCTAGACTCCATAATTAAACGATCTCTATCAAACATAGTTTTTTTTTTTGTCCTTGAAAACAATTAAATCGGATTACATGAATATTAACATTGAAAATGTATCTTCCAGCTCATCTTCTTTTACACGATGCGTAAGATTTGAAATGAAGAATTTTTCTTTAAATTATGTTAACCTTTCTTCTCATTCTGGATTCGATTATATTAATTATAAATATTGAAATATTTTCAACTTACAAAAGCTCGAATATATCGTTTTAAATCGACTTGTTCATCATCACGACACATTAATTCAAACATAAGTTTATGTCTATAAGCTTCTCGTTGAGCTTGATAAGTTGACGACGGCAAAGACATAACTGGTTTGTTTTTCAAATAATGATAAAAATTCGTTCTATATATTCTAGATAAAATGAAACAAATTGGTTTATGAATATATATATATATATATATATATAAATGGCTTACAAATTAACGTTTAAGTGTGAAACAGAAGTAACAATTGATCAACCTTAAGAAAATATATAATGTCATGCATTCATATATATATTACTTATTAGTATAAGTTCATAATGAGAATATATATGAGAGAAAGAAAGCGTAAAATGACGACGGACTAGATTATCTATCTATTATCCTAGACTAATTGACGAAAATGAAAAGTTCTTGAAAATATTATTTCTAGTTTAGATTTCAAAAAGAAAATCTTCTTTTTTTTTATAATTAATATGAATTATCTTTTAAAAATACACTTACACATTAAAATTGAATGTATATTAATTGTTTTTCGTGTGTATATTGTCCGTTCGTTTAAGCCAACAATTGTCTATGTATATATATATCTGTTTGCATCTATCGATTTGTCAAAAAAAAAAAAAAAGAAGAAAAAAAGAATATTTAACTGTCTATTTGTTTATCTATGTGTGAACGTCACACCACCACCCAAACGAACAAGAACAAACAGATATATACATATGGCAGCAACAATGTTTTCTCTCATCCATTCTAGGTTAAAATTGAATACATAGAAGATAGTAGAACAATAAACAGTTGATCAGACGGACGGATAAAAGGAGAAATAAATGAATAGGTAATCATTTGAAATTAGAAGTTTAAATTTAAAATAAATGATAATATGTAATTGATATTGTTTTAAAATTGAATATTTATCTAATTGATTAATCTTATATAAGTAAATATTTTCTTCTTAGAAACAAAACAAAAAAAAAGACATCATAAATTGTTAGAAATTCAAAATTTTAGCAAATTTTTATTTTGAATTTATTTAATGTTATTGTATAGAACATATTGAGTTACCTATGAAAAACTTTCTTGAAAATATATCGAAAAAAAAAAAGACTAAATTCTAAATATTATCATTAGAATCATTTATTATTACAGTTTATCAAAACAAGCCTTATTTTTATATAAGTTTTGGTAAATTTTATCTTCAATAATAAGGAAATAATCCTTGTTATGTTCTACAAAATGAAAATTACATAACTGTAATCATGATATTTAGAATTTAATCTTTTTTCGAATATTTTCAAGAAAAAAAATTGTTTCCAAAAATCGAAAAAGTAGTTTTTCATAGATAAATTCGATGTGCTCTATTCAATGACATTGAAAACAAAAAAAGTTTGCTATAACTTCGAATTTCTGATTCTTTAATTATTTTCCAGAATATTAATAGAATCTTTTTTTTTTTTATAATTAAGTATTATCATATCATTTTGAGAAGGATAGATGATATAGTTTTCGATAAAAATAAATTCAAAACTAGAAAACAAATAATTAATTAATCAGTAGTATTAATCTTATTAACGGTTCAAAAATAGAAAAATTTTAAATTAATATTTATGATTTCATTTTATTTTAAATGTTTCTTCTTTTGTCAATCAATTAAGAATTTAACAATCTTTTAGATAATATTTCTATATATGAAAAATTTTGTTTTCTTCTCAAGGAAAATTTTCATTAAAATTGATTTTTTCAAAAAGATTATATATAAAATTTAGAAGAAAAAGTCAATAAGTATTGAGTTGAAACGAATATATATACCTATGATTTAAGACTTTATTGCTGAATATCCATTGACGTGAACATTGGTAGAAATATCATTCAAAAAAAAAAAAAAACGTATTATTTTGTTTCATTACCTGATCTATGAAAAGCGTGATACACAAGACTGATAAGTTTTAAATACAACTGTGAGTGCATTCTCTGTGAGATTAAAAACTGCAACAGGATCCTTATTACTGTTGCTTATTACCATAGGGAGATTGTTTTATTTGATCTATTTTAAGACATATTTCATTATCATTCTTTTATTTAATCTTCCCGAAATGCAATAAGGAAGTAACTCAGATATTATTATTGATATACGGTGTATCACGTGTTCAAGTTTTTTACTTCTAAAGGGTATCTCGTAAATTTTGAGCCTCGATGAAAATTAGTTTATATGTAAACAAAGAGTAATTATTATCAAACTATATCTATATGAGTTTCGAATACTTAGGGCACTATTTTATATAGCATATTATCCGATGGTATTATCTCTTTTAATAAACGTGATATAAACAAACGAAACGTGATA